TCATTAAATAAAATTAAGGTAGACTGATGTTACGACCTAGGAATAATTTACCCAAAAGAGGTTAGTGCCCTAGCCTAGTTTTTTGTCTCTAACATGAATGGTGCATTCATGTTTAGTACAATTAAGCTGCCTACTGTAGGCAGAAAAAGTTGTTGCTTGGAAACAACACACACATATGCCCTGCGCACAAATTGCAGAACTGCTATTTGTCATATTAATTAGAAGCACAACTTGAGTTATTTATTTGTCACGAGGAGTGCTATATTAAGCAAAAAAAAAGAGGGTGCTTCTGTTATGTAATTTAGGATAAAAATAAAAAAATAAAAAATATAAAGGGTCTTGCAGACATGGAGACATAATATTTGTCTGCCTCAAAACTGTTTTGAAGTGATATTCATGAACCCTACATGTCCGCCACTAAGTACAATTTTGTCACCAGATTATTATCTTAACAGCAGCACCCACTTGCAGTTGTACGTCATGCCGTTCAATATTTTATCGAATACTATCAAAACAAAATACTTTTCATAGAGGAGTACTGTGGTTATAATTACTTTCTATTTATGTTAAAATTATTAAAATTTAATTAATATTTATAATTTATTTTTTAAAAATAAATAATTATAATTTTTTAAAAATGTTAATTTATAAAATTTTTATTTATTAAATAATAAATATTTATTATTTTATTAATTATTTTTAATAATTAAATTAAATTAATATTTTTAAATAAAATTGGATAGTTTTAACAAAATAAATAATAACTATAACTACACCCCTTAAAGAAGGAGTAACTTTTCTTCTGAAAACAGGTAATGGCATTAGTAAATATTGGAATAAATATTATTTTTTTATTTTAATTATATAATTAAAAATAATTTTTTATTATTTTTATTTATATGTTATTCAACTTAAATTTAAGATTTATTATTTTTAATAAAAAATTATTAAAATATTTAAATCATTAGCAAAATAATTATTTTCTTTTATTTATATATTATAACTTAAATTTAAGATTTATTATTTTTAATAAAAAATTATTAAAATATTTAAGTCATTAGCGAAATAATTATGTTAGATTAGCACTACCACATCTGACGCACAGATAAATACGCGTATTCAACTTAGGAAATTGTGGGATCCTACATAATTACGTATTGTCTAAGCCAAATAGCTGCAGGGTTCCATTTTCTACTCTCCATGCCAAACTTTTACGCCTGTTTGGTTTACTCTTTTCCTTAAGGTCTTTTTAGGAAAGTTAAGTGCAAAATATGGTCTAGATTTGTAATTTTTTTTGCATAAATTTCAACAAAAAAATTTTATAGTTGTAAATTGATATATATTTTTTAAATACAAATACTTATAAATAAAGTAATTAACTGCACCTGGGCTTCACGGCCCAACAACCATAGGTCGGCTTATAAGGTGTATCCCCCAGTTCTCAGGTTGGGGTTCAATTCCCCCCATCCCAAATTTGTAATCCTGTTCAAAAAAAAAAAAATCAACTATAATTACATACAAAACATTTCTTAAGGAAAAATGTGGAAAGATTTCTTTTGGTAATCCTCTACAATTGAAAAGTAATAACTTAATTTAATTTTAAAACAATATAATTGATTATATATGGTAATATAATCAATTATAATTAATTACTTTTTGCATTGAAAGTTATGCCCACAAAATAGCTTTCTTGGACCGAACCATGACTTTCAAAGGGCGACTTCGGCTTGATATTTTTTCACGAGAACCTCGCAAATCAAACAACGACTAAGAGTAGAAAAGTTGTTCCCCACTTTTTTTAATTATTTAGATTCTAAATAATTATTCATATATTTTCAAATCTTAATATTAAATAAAAAAGAAGGTAAAAGTATTATTTTTTATTTTTATTTTTATTAATAAAATTTTTAATTAGTAAACTTGTCTTTTTATACTTTTTAAAAAATAAGATTTCTCTTAACTTCTTATATATAAGAATCATTCAATAATTCTTTTACTAATTCTTATGTTAATTTATCATTAATTACGAAAAAATTAACAATTAATTAAAATTCAAACAACTTGTAAAAAAAATTAAAATTTTAACTAAATTTTATTACAAAATTGACTAATTTTTTATATAATACATTCTTATTCACTATTTATGTAGCAACTTTTCAAATAAAACTGTCCTCTAACTTTAACTAGACAGGGTCGGCAAGAATGCCTTCGCGGACCTGACTAACATGGCTGCGGCTGCTGACAAAGACGGTCCATGTATGTTTTGTATTGTTTAATGTACACGTATATGTCGGCCAGGAAAAAAGAAAAAACATGTGTAAAGAATGTTTCATAAAATAAAGTTCAATTCATATATAATAACGCCATCTAAAAAAAAATTTAAGCTGCGGTTCATGAGACCATTCTGTTATATTCTTTTATTTTCATTTTATATTTTGTAGATACTGAATGAGCACACTCACGTTTGAAATGGACGCTTGTATTTATTTTTGCAAATAAACTTAACACATGTATGTTCAGTTTTTTTTTTTTTTAGCACGAATAAAAAATTTTAAATTAAGTATTTGTTATCTCTAAAATTTCTTTTTTTAGCTACGTGACA